TTCTGTCCCATCTGAATCTTACTCACATTGAGTATTCTTTCGGCTTCACTGATAGCAATCTTCTTCTGTGTCTCTGCTTCTTTCTCAGCAACTCTCTATCTCCTCTCCATAGAAATCAAGACCTACAAAGGTTATTCATGCAGAGTTTTCTTTGTTAACTGAACCTTTTGCCAGTAAAATAAATCTTCTCTTCTGCTTCAGAAAGAACAGAAGAAAGCCGGGGACAAAGAAACATAATAATGGTGTTTACTAAATAGCTGTTAGCGAATTGGGTTAGTGATTTAACTAGCTGTTAGCTGCTTGTAGAAAGATGTTTGGTAAATTAGCTGTTAGTTGATAGCTGATTACAGGCAAAATGACATTTAAGGGTATAATCTATTTTCTCAAAAAGCTTATCGAAAAAACTGCTTTGAATAGCTTTTTGAATTTTAGCATTTTAGAACAATAAACTATTATAAAAAGCTGATTAACCAAACAGTCAAATTGGCTGTTTAACCAAGTCAAACAAGCCGAAATTGACTGATAAGTTAACTATGTTACCAAACAGGGCCAATCACCCTGTTTGAATCTGCCACTAGTGAAGAAAGGAAGCTATTAGAATTCTGAAGGAGAGGAAATTTCAATTTTGGTCCTACGATTATAGGGATCTTGTTAATTTCAGTCCCTGACTTTCAAAAGTGTCACTTTAGTACCTTAACTATTGCCGGCCAAATTTTGCCAAAAAAACTTAATCCTTCATTTAGTCTATAATCTGAGGGGCAAAATCGTCTTTTGATCCTTTCTCCTAATTCGTTGTACTCTGTTAAAACAGTAGAGGGAAAAGGAAGAAAGGATACTTTATTTTATTGTCTGTCTATCAAGTTCTCCAAATTACAACCATATATATAGGCATAGAGAAAGGCATATGAAAGGGCATGATAAATGCTGAAAAACTACTCCTCTTCTCAAAGCTACAACTTCCTAGAGTAGAGTAAATATGACTGCCTATTTCCAACACTCGCCCTCAAGCTGGAGCATATAAATCAAATGCTCCAAGCTTGCTACAAATGTATTCAATCCTCGGTCCACGAAGAGGTTTAGTGAGAACATCAACAAGTTGGTCATTTGACCCAACAAATGAGGTAATGACGTCTCCAGATGCAACATTTTCTCGTATAAAGTGACAATCAACCTCAATATGTTTGGTTCTTTCATGATAGACAGGTTTGGAGGCAATATGCAAGGCTGCTTGATTATCACAGATCAATTTCATAGGACCAAGTTTATAGAAATTGAGTTCTGTGAGAAGCTATTTAATCCAAATTAGCTCACATATTCCAAGTGCCATTGCTCGGTATTCTGCTTCTGCGCTTGAGCGGGCAACCACATTTTGTTTCTTGCTTTTCCACGAAACGAGATTACCACCAAAAAGAATACAATATCCTGATGTTGATCTTCTATCCCAAGGGCATCCAGCCCAATCTGCATCTGTATATCCAACAACTTCTGTATGTCCATGATCCCTATAAAGTAATCATGTACCTGGAGATCTTTTCAAATATCTTAAGATTCTAATGGCTACATCCCAATGGTTTTGACATGGCTCTTGTAGAAATTGACTAACTACACTTACAGCAAATGAGATATCTGGACGGGTGATCGTCAAGTATAGTAGCTTGCCAACTAATCTTCGGTATCTACATAGATTGCATAAAGGCTCCCCCTATCTTGGAAGAAGCTTGACATTTGGATCCATGGGTGTGTCAACTGGTTTGCAGTTTGTCATACTTGTTTCTTCAAGAATATCTAAGACATATTTCCGTTGGGACACAGATACCATTTTCAGATTGAGCAACTTCAATACCAAGAAAATATTTTAATTTCCCAAGGTCTTTTGTCTCAAAATGTTGACACAAGTATTTCTTGAGTTGTTCAATTCCTTCTGTATCATCTCCTGTGATGACGATGTCATCAACATAAACCACAAGATATATGCTTTTTTCAAGAAAATGTTTATAAAAGACAGAATGGTCGGCCTTGCTTTGGATCATGCCAAATTGTTTGACCACATCACTGAATCTCCCAAACCAAGCACGTGGAGATTGCTTCAACCCATAGAGAGACCGTTTGAGACGACAAACAAGACTTGCTCCTGTCTTAGCCACAAAACCAGGGGGCTGCTCCATATATACTTCCTCCTTCAAATCACCATGTAAGAAAGCATTTTTAATATCCAACTGATATAAAGGCCAGTGCCGATTGGCCGCCATTGAGAGGAAGAAGCGGATAGAGGTAATTTTGACAATAGGTGAGAAAGTGTCTATATAGTCAATGCCAAATTCATGTGTGTATCCTTTAGCAACAAGTTGAGCTTTAAGTCTATCAACTTGTCCATCTGGACAAACCTTCACATTATAAACCCATCTACAACCAACCACAGTTTTTCCCGGAGGTAAAGAAACTAACTCCCAAGTTCCAGAAGAATCAAGTGCCTCCATTTCATCAATCATTGCTTGCGTCCATCCTGGATGAGTTAATGCCTCATTGACATTCTTTGGAATAGAAACAGTAGACAAACTAGTAATGAAAGCACAATATGATAGAGACAGTCGTTTTTGTGTGAGGAAATTATAGATAGGATAAGGATTCCGAGTGGATCTTTTACCTATTTGACTGACAATGGGAGAGTCTTTTTCTGTTGTAGTTTGGGCTATGTCAATGGGAAGCAAAGGTGTAGGACATGAATCAATCGGACATCCATCATCTTGGGAGTTTTGACGATTGCGTCGTTGATAGGTGTACCTAAATGGTGAAACATGTCCTTCCTCTTGAATGGTTGGATTTGGTGTAGTTCTTTCAGGAATCTGTATAGTTCTTTCAGGAACAGTGTGAGATACAGGTTCTGAAAAAGTAGGAACAGGGAGAATTTCTGTTACCTCAATGGGTTTCCCTAGGAAATCAGACTCAACAGAGGTGGAAGAGAAAAAGGGTGTTGTTTCAAAGAATGTAACATCAAAGGAAATATAGAAACGATGTGTTTTAGGGCAGTAACACCTAAAGCCCTTTTGGAGACGAGAATATCCAATGAAAACACACTTTATTGCCTTAGCATCAAGTTTGTCACGTCCTGGGAAAGAGTCATGAACGAAACGAGTGCACCCAAAGATCCGTAATGGGAGCTTATGGAGAGGCTCCTGTGGGCACAAGACGTGAAGAGGAACTTTTCCTTGCAAAACAGAAGAAGGCATCCGATTTATAAGATAGCAAGAGTGAAGTATAGCATGCCCCCAAAAATTCTTAGGAACCTTGTTATGCATGAGCAAAGTACGGGCTGTTTCAACAAGATGCCGAATTTTTCGTTCAGCAACTCCATTTTGCTGAGGAGTTCTAACACATGAAGATTCATGAAGTATTCCATGTGATGAAAAGAAAGAAGTGAAAGAGTCAGAAAAATACTCTCTTGCATTATTACTTCGTAAGATTTTGAGAGATACCCCAAATTAATTCACAATTTCATTATAGAATTTCTGAAATACATCAAATAATTCAAAACGGTTTTTCATTAAGAAGACTCAAGTGCACCGAGAGAAATCATCAATGAAGACAACAAAATATGAGAATCCCAAAATAGATGAAACCCGACATGGTCCCCAAACATCGGAGTGAACTAGAGAGAATGGGGTAGTAGATCTCCTATTCACTCTACTATAATATGAGGCTCTTGAGTATTTCCCAAGTTGACATGATTCACACTCTATGGCTTTTAGACTTGACAAACTTGGAACAAGTTGTTTTAGTTTATTGAGATCTGGATGTCCTAAGCGACAATGGTTAAGGAGAGGTGAAACAGTAGCAGTGCAGGCTATTTTGGTATTGGTAGGATGTAAAAGGTGGTAGAGACCTCGTGATTCATTTCCTACACCAATTGTCTCCTTTGTTTGACGGTTCTGAATAATTACAGAATCAGAGGAAAAGGTAACCAGACAATTCAGAGAATGAGTAAGTTGACTAACTGAGATCAAGTTGAAAGGACAACCGGGAATGTAAAGGACATTAGATAAAGATAAAGAATAAATGGTGACTTTTTCAATTCCTATAGCCTTTCCTTTTAACCCATCACCGAAAGTAACAGCAGGAAGAGAGTCTGAGAAATTAATATGAGAGAAAAGGGAAGGGTTACCAGAGATGTGATCAATGGCTCCAGAATCCAAGACCCAAACTGATTCAGATCTTAATGCAAGGGCTTGAGAGACAGTGGTACTGGAAATTTTTAATGCACTGTTCAGAATTTTCTGTTCTGCCATAATCATCGGAAAAATATGAGAAAAGCACCGGTAGGGTCGCAGGAAAGAAACAAGCTGATCTGGAAATTTTGACCGGAAAAGTCGCCAGAATAAGCGTCACGCGCCGGCGCGTGGCGTCGGAGGTCTGCCTTCGGGGTGGCGCGTGAGAGCGCGTGTGTTGACGATGGGCGGCCGGAAAAGATGGGCAAGGTCGCCGGAGTCCTTGTTGGAGGGTTGTGGTACCACCTTTGTGAACAAAGCTCCCAGTATTGAATAATATAGAAAGAGGCAGTAGCAGTGGTTAAGAACACAGTTCACTGTGTTCATCTGAAAAAGTTTTCAGGCCCCAAAGAAGGTGGCTCTGATACCATGTTAAAACAGTAGAGGGAAAAGGAAGAAAGGATACTTTATTTTATTGTCTGTCTATCAAGTTCTCCAAATTAAAACCATATATATAGGCATAGAGAAAGGCATATGAAAGGGCATGATAAATGCTGAAAAACTACTACTCTTTTCAAAGCTACAACTTCCTAGAGTAGAGTAAATATGACTGCCTATTTCCAACATATTCATTCGCTGAACCGGGTCAACAGCAAATCGGACCACATTTTCTAGGAAATTTTCGTGAGGAAATTCAAAGAATATTTTCAATAGACTGTTTTCCTCCTCCCTCTCCCTTTGCGACTGCAATTCTCAATTCCAGACCTTCATCAACATTCTACAACATAAGCTTCATAGTTAAACCCTAATATCCCAAACCGTCAAAGCTCCGATTTTTTATTTTTATTTTTAAAATTTTGAACAGAAATGCTTGCTCTAGTACTAAAATGATAAGGAGAAAAGGGCATTCAATCATCTTTGAGTTAACCCCTTCTTCCTATACATTGATGCGTACTCATTTTCTCTCCCGCCTCCGATGCTTTTCTCATCGTTCCGCTGCCCATTCTTCTATCCCCAAAAATGTGGACTTCCTTGCCCCATTTCACTCTTCCCGACCCGAATGTGAAAACGGACCTAAACCTCGCTCCGATGGTCTGAGCAGACTTCAAAATCGGACTTGAACCGATTCAGCGAATGTGGTCCGATTTGCTGTTGACCCGATTCAGCGAATGAGTACAATGAATTAGGAGAAAGGATCAAAAGACAGTTTTGCCCCTCATATTATAGACTAAATGCAGGATTAAGTTTTTCCGACGGTAATTTGGCCAGAGTGACCAAAATTGACAAAAATTGCATAGTTAAGGTACTAAATTGACACTTTTGAAAGTCAGGGACTGAAATTAACAAGACACCTATAGTCTTAGGACCAAAACTGAAATTTCCTCTTCTGGAGGATAAGAAAAAGAGCAATTAAATCTACACATCCTAAAGACTAACCAACCGGATGTTAGATTTTGATGCTTTAGATAGATCAAGCCTGGTTCAATCAAGAGCTATGGAGTGTGATAGTATGAAAAACATCGTTAGATGTCACCATAGTGCGCTCCTCTTCCATGTGTTGGAAGTTTCTTCTTATGCTTTCTAGGATGCTTGGTTTTGTAACACGTATGCTGATAATTAACGTGTTCAGTCGGCCTGAAGAGCATCTTTCATTTTCTCGTCAATCTGGAAATTGTAAAAGGAACCCCATTAAAGTTGTTTTCAGGAGTAACATTTGACAATACAATAGAAATCCTTTTCTTTAGCATATCATCCTAGAGAGAGGGTGTGCATCATTTTCCATTTCCTGGTTCGTTGCTTCTTTGTAGCTCATAAGCTCAATATAAATTATCTCAACATAAGCATAAGGTTATGCATAAGTAATTTTATTAAAAAATTAAGAAATATTTAAACTTCCTCTAACAGAGTAAACACAGGAATCACAAGCCTTAGCATGAGAACACTGAATTTATTTCCAATCACAATTATAGGCATCAACTTGTTGAAGGCTTTATTTCATATATATTATTACCTGATCAAACATATGAATATAAACTTGTTGAAGGCTGTGGGTGCTGCAGAACTGATTAATTTCATGATCCATTTTGTCATATATCCATGTGTTGTCATAATTTACTCCAATTTGGATGTGATCAACAAGACCTTGGAGTTATACTTCAATTTTCTCAAATTTAATCATTACACATTTACACCTCCTTTTGTTCCACATGGAATATCCCTCACCTACAGTTTAGCAGGCATTTAACAACATTCTTAATTATATTTAGAAACAACAATCTAGGAACAAAAGAATAAAGATCTAGAGACAAAATCAGTCAACCTGGGGGGTGTGGTTGAGTGGAAAGGGACTCATCCATCCTTAACCAAAGGTCAAGGGTTTGATCTTTGGCTTTGGGTATGGAGCAGCTTTAAATCTCCATGCCAGGTGTCCCACCCAATAGAGGTGCCTATAATTCAGTGAGGGGATTAGTCGTGTCCGACGGTGGAAACTCTGCGCAACACCCAAAAAAGAGACAAAACCAGTCTGAAGAGTCACTTGAATGGGTTCAAATTGAGTAATAAGAGGCAGTTTCAAATGGAAACCTAAAAAGTAACATATGAATCTTTAATAATCTCAAAATTCAAAATCCGAAGAATGCATTATTATATATAGTGAAAGCAGCAGTTAAATTTAAATGAAAGGGTAAAGGAAGAATCATTAACCTGGATTTGTTATTGTGCTTAAAAGGGCACCTCCTCTCCAGTAGACCCCAACATGACCTTCAGGTACTTGATGTAGGGTAGAAAAACTGCTAGTTGAGAGACAGCGAAGGAGTCACCAGTCACCACCTGTAAATAAATGGTTAGCTTTTGAGAAAATTTCCTGTCAATAATACATTTGACAATCACGACAAAATCACATTTTGCGTTGGTGGTTGGAAAGAAAATTTTCATGAAACATTATGTTATTACAAATATGATCTCAACCTTAAATGATTAACAGAACAGGCACAAGGTCATATGCATCATATCCAAAGCCAAGTCAACAGAGCTGCTGCAAGTAAATGTTTCCATATCATTGGCATACGAAAGTAAATTGTAAGTTCTCTGATCATTTAATAGCAAGTGCCTTCATTGAATGTGAGCAATAAGCCCCAGAGTTCTGCTGGAATATTTCTTTGTTTGGTGCTTTTTACGACAAAAAAATAATGAAAGCGAGTGAGCAGGAAAATAAGGCTTCTCAAGCATTAAGGCCCGCCCAATTCTTAAAAGCAATCAGCGATTCCATTTTCCTAAAGTTCCGTCTTCTCAACTTTGACACTCGGAGTTTCTTATGTTTCTCCATGAAAGCTTGTTTGTACCTCCATTTATCCACAAATATCTTCGCCTCTTGAGATTTTTCCACTACTTGCATCACCGCATCAAAGAAACCCCCTTTCACCAAAGCGTATAGGAAAGCGTCCACCAAGCTATTGTCTAACTTGAATCTTCTTTCCCCATTGGCAGAAATCTTTCTTTTGACCTCAGTCCATAGCATCAGAACGTTGAAGTACTTCTCCACCGCCACGTACCCATTGATTAAAGAGAGATATGTTTGCTCGTTTGGCTCAAACCGGAGGAAGGTCATCCTCCTGAAGGTTCTTCTCGCGTCTTCCATTCGCCCAGCCTTGCAGAAGGCATGAATGATGGAATTCCAGTCGTGAGTACCTATTACAATTCGAGGGTCTTCAACAACCTCGTCCAAGAAAGATACCATGAGTTCAGGCCGATGACTCTCAGTTAAACCAGTCATTATGGTTAAATAACTTCCTTTGAGGTCAGATATTCTCGCTTCCCTCATATCCCTGAACAGCGAGAAAGCTGATTGAAAATCTTGGCAAGACATAGAAGCTTCTATTAGAGCATCGTACATACCAGCATCCAGCCGGAACCCTGAACTACTAATTTCCATAACCAATTGGGTAGCTTCAACCGTTCTGCGCTCTTTGCAGTATGCGTTCAGTATCGGGATATATACACCAAGACTAAAGCAAGTGCCCTGAATATTCATTTCTTCAAGAACACTGTGTGCCTTATCCAACAACCCAAGATTAACACAAGCACTGATTACACCGTATCCAACTGATTTCTCAACCACAATCGAAGAAGACTCCAGCTTTTGAGTTTCAACTATTAAACTAGCTAAGTTCTTCATTCCCCCATTATCAAGAAATCCTCTCACGATTTCAGTATAAGTTCCCTCACCAAGACCTATACCTTCTCCGCTAACCCCTTCCCTTAAATTATGCATAATAGTAGCAGAAACAGATTCCAAACTACCAGACTTCATATATCCACTAATCAAACTACTAAGAACAACCTTGCTATCGGGGAAGCCAAACCTAGTCACGAGATCTTCTAACTCGAGAATTTCATCTTTCATCCCTTTTCTCGCATACAAATAGGCCAATAGTCCAAAACTGAATTCATCAGGCCTAACACCCAAAATCGACATGGTATCCACCACCTTATTGGCATCACTAACTGATTCGAGCTCGCGGCAACAACACTCCAAAGCAGCATTACATGCAGCCAAATCAGGCTTCAAGAACACCAACTTCTCATCCATGGCAATCCTACAACTCTCATTAAATATGTGGAAATAAGCAACTAAGCTACCAGTTTTTCTACTGATATCAACAAGGGCATTCCCCCACAGACTAAACGGCACGAAAAATCGATTCTTGAACATACACTTGACCAATGCAAAAGCAGGGGCAGCAGTGTTGGCATTCCTCATTGAATCCAACAAAATTTCGACAGTTTCATGGCGGAGCAATTCTGGGTTCTTCTCAATCAAGAACACCACAGACGCAAATGCCCTCTTGAGGTTTAGGGTGTCAGAGAGGGAAGAGAGGTGGGCGATGAGAGAGTTGGTGAGGGACTTACTTGGGAAAGCAGTGCGGCTGGAGAGAGCCTTGAATGACTTCCAGGCCTCATCTGTGTTGTGGGCAGTGAGGGAGGCTTGAAGGGCGGACTCAAGATGGGATTTTTGGTCCTGGGTTAGGGATTTTTGGGTGGCGTCGTTGGGTTTTGGTGCGGCGGAGTAGGGTGGGTTGGCGGTTCTAAGAGAGAAGATCGACGGCCGTAGAAAAGAGTAGAGGCTTGGGATTTCTGGCTCTGGCTCTGGCTCTGTAGAATAACGCCGCCGTGAGACGACGCCTAAAACTCTTCTCCACATTCTTCCCTACTTCGCCCAGCGCTTCTCTCTCTCTCTCTCTCAGAATGGCATCTCAATTCTTCAAAGCAGAGATGCGATAAACACAGGCAAATTATCCAGCACATTTAAAATAAAATTACATTATTTGTATATTAAATGTATGAAAGAAATACACTTTTGGTCTTATGGACTATGCGTTTGGTTAATTTCAGTACTCAATTTTAAAAATTAACAATTTAGTTTTGTAACTATGCAATTTTTAAAACATTTGGTTCACCCGGTCAAATGTCGCCGAAAAAACGTAAACCTTTTTAAATTATTTATTGGTGCTCCGGCCAGTTCCTCCCCGACGGCTCCCTCATCCAAACCGGCGGCTCCTTACATTTTCCTTTTCTCGGTGAAGTCGAAGACAAGCAATTGGACAATAGGGTCGTTATGTACTATTATAAGGTGAATTCAGTAGTGAAATAGTTTTCGGAGCTCAACGGCGGCCCTCGAAACTACTCGTCGGCTGGATTGTCGGTGATGCTGGCCCTAACAGGGGACTATTACTCTACCACTGTAGTCGTATGTGGCGGGGCGCAATTCGGAGCTTATTTACATAGGCGGAGGTGGGCTTGGCTTCCTGACGGTTTCACTGCTTCCCCTCCCCCTTCAGGCAGCACTACTGCCTTGGTGTCGTCTCTCTCTCTTCCTCCTTCTACGGTGCTAGATTCAGTTTCTGAGTTCGACTAACCTTGCTTCCACTGGTTCACGAGCGACGCCGGAGTGAGCTACCTGCTAGGTTCTCGGTGAGTTCGATTTTTCCCCTTTTTACATTGACCGTTTTGCCCCTATGAATAAATTATATAAAAAGATTTACGTTTTTTCGGCGACATTTGGCCGGGTGGACTAAATGTGTTAAAAATTGCATAGTTATGAGACTAAATTGTCAGTTTTTAAAGTTGAGTACTGAAATTAACAAGACCACAATAGTCATAGGACCAAAAATGTAATTTCTCTTAAATGTACATTATATAAAATAACTAGCGGGCCACGCGTGATGCACGTTATGCAATGACCAACAGAGATCGAAGCAGACAAGTTCTATGAGTAAATACTACGAGACGTCCTCGGACTTTCGTGGCATTTGCACTTTTAGTCCTCAACTATTAAACCAACCACTCCCAATCGTCTTACTTTTTTTTTTCTAGGCATCTATGGTCCTTACGTTACAATTGGCCATCTAATGTTGTTTTATCAAGGGCAATTCTGTATTTTCTTAAGTAATGTCTTAAATATAATGTTTCTTCAGCAAAATCATTGACAAACCCTATTCTCCAGTCTCCACTTTCTTGTTGACTGCCATTATTGTTCTTCAGTGGCGAATGGAGAAGATAATACATCAACCGTCATCTCATTCTAGTAATACAAGGACATCTCATTTTAGAGATTGTATAGAGATTAGAGAGTGTCAACACTGCGGGAATGAGATGTACATTAGGACCTCTTAGATATATCAAAATCCGGGAAGGAGGTTTTGACAATGTTTGGATTTATCGGTGAGTACAAAGTTGTAGTTGAGTTAATGTGGTTTTAATTTTTTGTTAATTCTTTTTTTTTTCTTGTTGGGTTTTTATTGTTTTAGGGTATGAATGATTATGGATATTTTGAGTGGGCAGATCCTCCCATGTGTGCAAGGGCAAAGATTATAATCTCAGGACTCAAGAGGATAAATGGAGACCAAGAAGAAATTCAAAGGCTAAATTTGATGCTACGGAGAACGCCAGTTTACTACTTCAAGTTTTGCAAATGCACACTTTTTTTTTAAACTTTGGCAATTGTATTTGTAGTTAACATTTTCTAGACCCTTCGATTTCTGTTTGCGTCTACTGTTCTTCGGTATGGTGATTGTCTGAAATACGTAGGCGGCGGTACAGTTATATATATAGACTTCATTATAGTTAACGTGTGCCTTTCAACTTCTTCTATGTTTTAAACATTTGAAGGTAAAACAGTTCACATATCATCGTATACATCTCATATTGATTGTAGTACGTATGGCTTCAATCAAGATTCTTGGACTTGATATTTTGCCGAGGAACATAACAAATGCGATAGACCTCAGATTTGTACGGACGTATGGCCTTCCAGATATAAGAGTTGTTAAAGCAGTCGATTCTTTGGAGTGCATCTTACATGATGAGGAGGTGTTTTACTTGTACAGTTGTCTTTTATTATAGAATTTGTTATTGCATAGTGGTTGTGTTAAGACATGTTTTTTTGCATTCGAAAACCATGGCACTTTTCTTCATGTACATATTCCGAACGAGTATGTTAAACCTAGGTGCCAGCTAGGTTGGGTATCCACTATAGAACTTTTTAGTCCAAGGGCTTTAGGCCCATTCCTCATGCCAGCTTCTCGACAACTTCTTTTTCTAACCCTTTGGTTAGCGGATCCGCTATATTGTCTTTTGACTTCACGTAGTCAATCGAGACAACACCAGTTGTGAGAAGTTGTCTAATGGTATTGTGTCTACGATGCATGTGTCTAGACTTACCATTATACATATGTCTAATGGTACATAGACTTACCAAGTTACCATTAAAGAGCACGTGGTAGATTTTACCCAAATACAAGCTAGATCTCTTCAATAGCAAGGGGGAAATGAAGATCCAAGCCACAATTGCTCCAAATCTCCAAATGTTCTTGCAAATCCAAAGATTTTTTGCTAAAATCCTAGAGAGAGAAAAACTAAGCTAATCTAGATCTAAAACTTCTTTCTAAAAACTCTGAAAAATCTCTCTAAAATTGTGTAACTCCTCCTCCAAGAAATCTGAAATAAGCCTTAAATATCCCCCTTTTCAATCAGCCCCCCATTTACGCACGGCGTCACGCTGTGACGCCGGCGTAAATAGGGAATAATTCTCCTCCGCGTTCAGCTTCGTCCGACTTCTTTAATGCGGATTTACTCAGGCCCTCACGCCGTGAAGCTTCTGTAAATGGGGAATAATCCACGCTTTTTGCCTTGTCTCTCTTACGCTGCTCTCACGCCGTGAAGATGGTTGTAAATGGGAAATAGTTCTTCATTTCTCTTCCTCACGTGCGTGGTTTGTGACGTGTTTGGGTCCTCGTGTGTGCTCTTTTCTTGGCCTTGATTTTTTTTAGCCTCTTTTGCCACTTTCTTTGCCGAAAAACACCTATAATCATGCAAAATAAAATTGGGAAGGTATCTTTGCGCTAAGCCGTGTTTTTAGGATAAATTACCCTTAAGAGTAAGACTTTCGTGTTAAAAACATGCTAAAACACCTATAAAAGGTTCCTCAAAACTAGCATATTTTAACACTTATCAACATACAAATTAGTGTTTTAGAATAAAATTAGTTATAATTTTGGGTCATGGGCTTAAAATTTTGGGCTTGAGCTAAATAAAAATAATTGGGCTAAATAATTTGTGTTCAAGAAAAATCATTTGGGCTTAGGACATTTGATACAGGCTTATCTCATATAGACTTTGGATAGGAAAGTTACGAGCTATAAAATAATTAATTTGAATTTCGGAACAAAATCATTTGTTTTGAAAGTATTCGAGCTAAAATATTTAGGATTATAAAAACAGTTTTCATTTTCAAAAAAAAAATATTAAAATAAGGTGGTTTGAAATATCGGGGTGTCATAGATGCAGCTATGCTGGAAGTTGCAGTTGCAAGAGCGATCCATCCCCTAGAACACACAGCCGCCAGCAAGCAACGGTATAAAAAAATTTCCTCATGGCACCTGGGCCATCAACAACAAAAAAAAAAAAAACATGCGCCCTTGTTCCCTAATACATTGTCCACAATAGTCTGAAAAGCCGCATGTTGGCACACATTGAGTTTCTGGATAACTACGAGATCTGCCTCAGGAACGGGCAAGTTTTGTTCATGCCCAATCTCATTCGTAATTACTCTTGGGAAATCATGGGGCTTGAACATATCAAACAAGTTGTAGTCTTGCAGTTTCTTGCCCATCTGGTGCAATGTATTTGCAAACTGCAATCATCTTAAGGACTAATGATTCAGCCTCATCGTTCGTGTGCAAACCAGTCTTTAATAAGTCTTCACACATGTATGTCTTGTATTTGATCCATAATGCAAGAGGATTTGAAAGGCCGCAAAAGATGAGATGCATTGCAAATAACTTTCTCAAACTTGAAGGCATTTGGATCAATACTACTTCATTCAACGATTCTTCTACAAGAAAATCCCCCTGCGAGCAGTCAAAGTTTCTCAGCGACTTCACGGAAAGATGAAGCTAGGCAACCATTCACAATTTTTAAGCAATCAAACGATGTCGGTGCTCTAACATTCATCAATAACAGCCCAAATAATATTGTTCCCCTTCAGTCGGATTAGCATTCACAAGTCTACCAATAACCTTAAGTTGTTTCCGTGGTTTCCAACACTTAGTTGACTTACACCAAATGAAATGGCAAGGGAATTCTACATAAAGCAAGTTCAACATTTTTGCAGCATCACTTGTTAGGTTCATCGAGAAGAATTCAGTTAACATGGTACGGGACCACTCTTCCCTGCTAACATATTGGTTATCCTTTCATGGCCATAAAAATTGATATATTGTGAATTTTCTAAATGCACCTACAGTTGTATAACCGCGTGTTTCATCTCTGCGATTGCAAATCCAAATATGCGACATGCAGCTTTAATGGGCATATTTTACACTCATATTTTAGTTACATCTTTATAATATTTTTATATTAATTATTTAATATTATCTAATAATTAGTTCTTTTTATATACATAGTATAATATATTCTTATACTATATATAATATATATAATATATAATTTATAAGAGTACATACTACGTACTTAATACTATATATATATAATATATAATACAATATATATAATATAGAATGCATTATAGTATACATATAATGCGTACTACATTATAATTACTTTTATATATATATATATATATATATATATATATATATATATATATTATAAATCTAAACTTTGCAATTGATTTTTTCTTTTTGTACAGGCATGCATCATAATAACATGGCTGGAATTGTGGAAGACTCAGGCATAAGGCAAAATAATAGGAAAAATGAGTGGTAGAAAATGATTGGGAAAATATATAAATAGTTAA